GACAGAACTGGATTTTGGCTTGGTTTTTTGGGGGAAGGCTGGGAGCCTTTTGGCGTGAAATTGAATGTAAATTACTTACTCATCTGCTATCAAAAAGCAAATAAGAAATGCGCATTGGCACAGCTGCCCAAAAAATGGTAGATGGACCTGCAGAAGACGCTGGCACCTCCATCAGAAAGACCATAATTTGAAGGTTTCCTCATATACTACCAATTTATTAGCATGAGATCTGTCTCAGTAAGGGCTTGGACTGCAGTGTCTTACTAAATTAGGGCTGTTAGCATCAGACAGTGACTACTGAAGCATCGCCTAGGACCATGAGATCTGCTGTGTCGGTGAGGCTAATCCCACGTAACCCCAGAACACAAATCAGACTCTCAGTTTGTCCGAGGCAGCTGTTTGTTCCCTGAGGTAGACATGTTGCAACATGTTTCACAAAACTGGCTAAGACTTTTTTCCCAGCCTTTGAAAAATGCTGATGCCCCACATCATGATGGTTAGTCAATAAATCAATCTGAAGTTGATCAGAAAACAGCAAATAGTTCAAGAGTTATTAGTATATTCTAGTAGGCAATTATTTGCCAGAACAGCTAAATCAAATTCCTGTCTGATCTGCACTGAGGCTGAATTTGACATCAGCTGTAGGATTCCTCATGCCAAACTTCAGGTATGTCAGTGTCAGTCTAGACTTCTTCTACTGCAGATGGAGAAAGACGAAGCCCTTGGGAGTAGACTTCTCCCCTCCTATTTTAGGAACAAAACGTCCTCTGTTATCTCTCTCCCCGGACTCTAGAGGAGGCTGTGTGCCTGGCTTGCGCTAGACTCCTAACTTTTAATGAACTGATGATGTAGGTGACAAACATCCCATCCCTTCAGTCTTACGCAGTTAACTACAGCACAGTTTGGTATCTGGTAGATTTAGAAACATTTTCTGAAGAAGATAAAGCCCTCAAAGTAACCTTGGCTAGAAACATTGGTAAAACTTGAGTGTCATAAAAAATTATGTTAGGTATCTCATTAAGCACTAAACATAATTTAGGGTGATATAAGAATCTATATGAAACAAATATTGGACCGTATAAAGGAACATTAAAGGTTTGATGAAGTAGCATTGGTAGTTTGGAGAATGAGGTGTAAAGAGTCTTCCGATTTGATCTGTAGCTGAAGCAGGTTTCTCATCATAATTAAAGACATGATCTGTTGTTACCAGTACTTATGGGAGCTTTCCTAGAAACAGCTAAGGTCCAAAAGAAGTCTGAAGTGAGCTGTTCAGAACCATTCTAGATTTTAATTTTTTTAGTAATTTGTATGGATCAAAAATTGTGGAAAAACTAGGAATATCTATGTGAAGTTAATGCTTCTCTCTCCCCCTGCGCCCTTCCCTCACCTTTCCAAGCAGAATCCCAGCTCCTAGTGCAGGGGGAGAGGTGACTTTTGCTTGGATGTTTTGAAACTGCCTCCTTAAAGAATAAGCTTTATTTATATTCACCCTTTGAGGGGAAGGTTTGAAGTACTCCATAGCAATACAGTGATATTTGCTAGCATGTTCCAAGGAACTGGTCATCAGTCTCATCGAAGTATTTTTTCTCAGTGGGATTCACACTGTTCGTTCGCTCCATTCTTCAGCAGCTTGTACTTGTTGGTAATAACGAGGTGATGATCAGTCAGGTAGAATTCCTGTCCCCACTGAAATCAATAGCAAAACTCCCACAGACTTCAGTGGAACAAGAAGCTTGAGAATCCTAGTATTTTATGCTCTACTCTGCTTGTTTAAATACTCCCAGTTTCCTTGTTTGAAATGGACCATCTTTTTTTACTGGGGCTACGAACAATATATTGCTTTTCTGTTTCCAAGTAAAAGTATCTTTTTCTGTTTCCAAGGAAGGTGTCTTTGTACTTACAAGCCATGATCCATCCACACATTTCTGAAAGAACATCATCTGTCATTAAGACCCAGGATGATCAAATGGAATGGGACAGATTTCATACTAAGTGTATACTGGCAAGAGCCTTGCAGGTTCAAGACCAGGCCTACAGCTTCTAATGAAACTTCAGATACACAAAAACTGAAATTATACCACGGACTGAAATATGATTGCTTACCCATAGCAATTGAAACACAATACTCTCACCCATAGCAAAAGATCCTTCTACCTCCTAAGAATCTGTTTTACAAAAGAAATTATTTCTGAAAGCTGAGACTGAGAAGTGTGGAAAAAGTTTTCACGATAAAACTGCTGGATGTGCTGAGTGTACAGGTAGGAACTACTAGCCATGAGGGGTTCCCAAGGCTTATTATCATTGAGAGTCTTACTCCCTGTATTGTTTAATCCTGTTCAACAGTTACAGGCAGGTTGGCAGAGTTACAATGATAATATAAAAAAAAAAAGTAAGATCTTAAAAAATTTTGTAGAATGGGTGTCCCAAATTTGTGTCACTGCTAACAAAAAAGCTGCACCTCATCAGCCTACACAGCGTGCTGGTACGGCTGTCTCAGCCATGGGAAAAAGCATGACCTAAACCCACATATTAAGAGTCACAGGATAATTTGGTCACAAGACACAAAACTGCAGTGAGTCCACTTCATTCATTCCTCTTCTTACAGAGGTGCTTCTTTGCATTGTATGTGCAGATGTACAGATGTCTCACAGTCCCAGATAGACACAGGAAACTTTAGCAAGAACAGTCACACAGCTGTGTGACATGTAAAGGTCTACTGTACATCAGCCAGCAGAATTATAGGTTTGCAAAGCAGATACCTCTGGAAGATTTGCGATGCCTGTCTGCACAATGGAAGATTTGCAATGCCTGTCTGGACAATATCTGTTCTCTGGTCGGCATGTACAAGAGAGCAGAATCCCATCTTGGAAGAGAAGTAGGAAGGGAAATAAAAGAGAGAAATGGGAAACAGAAAAAGTAAAGTTTGAAAATAAACCTGGGAAGGGGCCTCGCTGGGTTGAGGAACTTTGTGGCTAGTTAGGCACTGACTTCAGTGGGTATAAGGCCATGCTTGAAGAATCACAGACCCATGGAGGTTGGAAGGGACCCCCAAAGGTCTCCAGTCTGACCTTCTGAATCAAGCAGATCCCATTGGAGCAGGTTGCTCAGGGCTTTGCCTAGGCTGGGTTTGGACACCTTTAAGGATGGAGGCTCCACAGCTTCTCTGGGTATCTGTTCCGATGTCCAGCCATCCCTACGGTTAAAGTTTTTTTCCTCATATTGAGTAGGAATTTGATGTTGCAACTTGCGTTCCTTATTATATACTGCAATAAGATCCCCCCAAGTCTTCTCTTCCTAAGGGTGAACAAACACAGTTCTCAACCTCTCATGTGTCCTGTGCTCCGGTCCCCTGACCATCTTGTTGATCCTGCACTGGATTCACTGTCTGTCTTGTGCTAGGAGCCCAAAACAGGACACAGTCCTCCAGGCATGGCCTCACAAACACAAGGAGAAGGCAAGATTCATTTGCCCCAGCCTGCTGGCTACACTCTTGCTAATGCAGCCCAGCATTTGGTTGATCAGGGATGCACGGCTGATGCACTCATGTACTCATGTTGGAGTTGTGCGCTGGGACCCTTGGGACTTATTTGCCGAAGCCAGTTTGTATGTAACAAGTTTTTGCCCAGCTTGTCCTGCTGCATGAGCTTGTTCCATCCCAGACATGGGACTTTTCATTTTGTTGTACCCCCTGAGGTTTCTCTCAACCCATTTCTCCAGCCTGTCTAGGTGACTCCAAATAGCAGCCTGGTCTAGCAGTGTATCAGCTGTTCCCCCCAGTCTGGTGTTATCTGCAGACTTGCAGAGAGTGCAAAGGAACCATACATCAAAGTTCTTCATTGAGATACGTCGTCTTCTTACTGAGAAGTCTTTATATCTTGTGAGCATGCAGCTCAAGCACAAGCAGCTTCATATTATGAGCTTATAAATAACATACTGGTGAGAAATAGCTCTGTCGAGGTCATTGCAGGTGGTCCTCTACTGCAGGGTGAAGTTAGTACCACTTGATCAGGAGTCCATCATTGGATAGAGCAATGGAAGACAATTTCTTAAATCTTATTCTTTGAGCTGTGTTTCAGGGTGGGTCAGACTTAAGTATATAGGCTGAGGGAGGGAGAGGAAACTGTATATCATATGTCTGGGACAGATCAGCCGTGTGAGACAGCCTTTAACCATTGAAGCAGATTTCACAAGCGGAGTATAGGAGAGGAGCTTGTTCTCCTTTAGCTGGTCTCCTCTCCATCAGATGATTTCCAGTCTGATGTCACACATACGTGATTTGTGTAACATGTCCAGATTATTCATTTTAGAGGTATTAGCTTCATTTTTGCTACCTTTTGGTTTTTTGCACCGAGTTTTTAACCCTTGGGATGTTGCCAGAACTGCCAAATTGTTCCCCTATTCTATGTTCATGAGGACATTTCATAGTATTTTCTGTCCCTTCATGGAAGGTTGTAGGAGCCCAGTAGCAATTCCCAAATCCCTAAAAAGTGATTAGCGATTATTGTTCTGTAAGTGCTTAATAGGGAGATTAAGATAGGCCACCAGGTGTTTATGCAATAACACTCGGTAGCATGGAAATTCAGCTCTAGCTATTACATGGTGTAAAGAGGGTAAATGCGTGCCCTCAGAGAGATTGGCAATTATTTTGATGCTTGTATTGTATCCCATTTTCCCTAGCAGGTTGTGCAGTTCTATTATTTTTGAACTTTTCATTACCCGATAGGGTTTTATCTGTGTTTATAGTAGCAGGATTGGTCTGTAACCGCAAGATCAGTTTCTGTTAAAGGTATTTTTCTTGTGCAATCAGTAAGTTGCAAAGCCTCGTTTTTAGTCCGCCCCTTTGTATCTAACATGGCATATTTGTATACAGCAACAATGGAAGGGGGCTATGCTTCACATTGCAGGTTTGAAATAAGTGATAGTGAAATAGCTTAGGAGCAGAGCAAATGCTCTTCTGTAGTGAATCGTATCATTAACAGTGTCTTTTTTTTCTGTTTCAGGAGGTTGGAAGCATTATCGGAAAGGTCAGGAAATTACTTTCTCTCTTCATTTTCATGTCGAAATATTGTGTATCAGTTCAATTCATCAGCCCAGGATAACTTTTTTCTGTTTCTTTAACAGAAAGGTGAGACAGTTAAGAAGATGAGGGAGGAGGTAAGACAAGCCTTGATGTCTGTACTTGACTTTCTTTGCAGCTCAGAGAACAGGGAAATTCAGAGTGTACAGACCAATACTGCCATCAAGTGGACATCACCATTCTTTGCAAATGGTGGTGTATAAGTGTGGTGGCCTAAATTAAACATTGTTGTTAATGTAACCTCCTTATCACCACAGCAGTCTGGAGTCTTTCATTCCCATAGCAATATGCCTGCTGCTGTCTTATCTCAGGAACAGCTTAGCTGGCGTGATTCTGTGCATCCAGACCGCTGTATCTTCCTTTAGCATACCAACATCGGTCCCGCACGTGGCTTGGCCTCCTGGTAGAGAGCTTCCAAAATCTGAAACCAAGCATTAGACTGATGCTACATAAAGTTTGAGGGTAGACACAAGCTTCAGCAGAGCTGGAGCTAGGCTTGCATGAGCCAAAGTATCCCTCTGCCATGTCTTGGGCAAAGCCTTAACTTTTTGTTGTTTTGCAGCTAGCTATGCGTAGGATGTGGACAGGGTAGACATGCACACCTGCCATTCACATCCTTTTAAAAGGCTGTAAACACAAAAAGGCTAACTAAAACACGGCACTGCATAAACCTCAGTCTCCCCAGTGTCTGCAGGCTTCCTTCCCTGCCGCACAGCAAGCCACACTATCTTCTTGTGCCCAGGATTGTGCCCAGGCAGAGGTTACAGACCCACACTTGCCCTGCAAGGCAGCACATCTTACCTGGAGTTCCATGTAATTTTCTTTCTTTGAAGCAAGTGCTAAAAGCATAAGTCAAAAGACAAATCCTACTGTTTAAAACTTTAGGAGTGCAAAGTGTATAGAGGATGCCTCAAGAAAAGTCAATTTGGTTCTGGTAAATCTGCAGTACATTACTATGTCGGCTGCTTCGTTGTTTTATACACTGATAGAAGGTCTGTGGCAGGGAAATCTCAAAGTATTTGTAGTAAAGAAAATTGCAGAGATCCATCTTTAAATATACACAACAGCGAGTGCATTGTCAGGCTGACTGAGTTCAGAGCTTCTTTTTTGATGACAAGAGTTTTCACCCATGTTTTCACACATAAATACATTTGCTTAAAAAAAAATACAAGAAAAAAATGTTATTAAAAAATTATATAAATTGCATGCACAAAAGGGAAGCCATCATTGGAGAGTGCTCCTGACTTCTGAGGTAAACATCTCAGAGAAGAGTTATGATCCCTGGTTAGTTTTTCAAGATAAATATCAGATGTTCTTCTTCCACTCCTGAAAACCTACTGTCATGTACGCGTAGTCACAAAAGGCTTTGTTTGGTTGTTTTTTTAAAATAAAGGAATTATATACATCTTTATATCAGCACAGGACTAAGAGGCTATGTCTCCACATGACGATAACTTGGTCCTCCTTTAAATTACTGCCTTCTTCGGTACTTCTTTAAAAGCAAAATGCAACTTTATTTTTACTTTCCTGACAGATGTGGCAAGTTGCATGCCATCTTTATGGAATGAAATGCAACTCTGTCTTGCTCTGACATTAGGGAAATGTCAGAGACAACTTCCGGCCTAAAGAAAAGTACAAAAACCTCGGTCCTGTGCCCTGCAGTTGTTAACTTCCTACACAAATATGGAGGCCACCGCATAACATTTTAATTGCCATAGCTCGGCTTTGACCGGTCATCTATTGGAGGAGTAACGTCTGTGAATTTTGGCTGCCGCCGACCCACGGTGGAGCGATCTTTCAGCGACGCTCCCACGGCTCCGGTTTCAAAGGAAGTTTCAAAGCCGTGCTTTGCGTGAAGGCGGCCGCGGGCACCTCTGCCCGGCATGGCACCTGTCGCGCTGGCTGCCGGGCTGAGCCCCGTGTCCCCGGGTTCGCCTGTGCTGCTGGCAGCCAGACGTTGCCACCAGCCTAAACGAGCCCTGGGCCCTCATCTCCTTCCTGATCCAGGGCTGCTGTTTGATGAGGGCAAGTCCCACCCAGGTTGGCCTGTCAGAAGAAGTGCCTGCTGCCCTTTCTTATCTATGAACGCCTAGCGTGTCTGCCAGCCGAGTCCACGGCAGCAAGATTTTTCTATCAGTAGTGTTGGGTTTTTTTGGTTTGTTTTTTTTTTTTCTTGTTGTGTTTGGTTGCTGTCATATGGGGAAATACGCTATCTTGCTGTTGAGCAGCAGGATGCACGTGAATAAGGGCTCAGGCACACAGCACATCGGCTGATTCGTGGCAACCCCGAAGGCAAAGGGACAAATTAACCCAGATTATCCCACGTTTGCTACCGGCCCAGATCCTCGAGAAGGTCGATGCCTGTGGGTGAGTTGAGGCTCCAGTGACCTGCTGGACTGCATTAACTCATTTCCATGTCTAAAACTTCAGGGAAAGCATAGGGTGGGTCTTACCTGAACTGGCTTTGATCATTATCCGCGCCAAGATCCTCTTAAATGTATTTACATCTAGTTTAGGGGTTTTCTCTGCACTGCCGCAGTGGCATAAGGAGGACTAAGTATACCTGAGAGCCATGCTGGCTTGTCTCCAGGACTTAGGGTTTTCTTACTCCTTCCAACAGGCTCCTTGCCTTGAGGAGATAACACCATTACTGTTGCCTGTCCTACCGCTACTCCTTTAAAGGGTTGTTCAGTGCGTATTAATTGACTGCCTTCACACGAGACGCATCTATAAGGACCCTTCCCACAGTGCAAAGCAATGCTCCAGCTAGACAGGTCGAGCCCTGCCTTTGGGTCTCCAAACCGGAGAGGTGCATCTTTCCTGGGAGATGTTGATGCTCCCTGGAGACGACTGCCTCACCTGAAATTCTGCAGCTCCCGTCCTGTTAAGGTTAACCCCACAAGAGGGAAGGGAAAAGACTTGATTATGCAGTTATTTGCAACTTTGAGTTACAGAGACACTATTTGCATACTGTGATGAAGGCTGTGTAAGTGTTTACCCAGGCAGAATCCGGCTTCCCGCAGTTAGATGAATTTTTGGAGTGTGATCAGTTTATGCTGAAATTACATGATGTTGGGGCTGCAGTTGTAGGGGAGTGGATTAGATGCCTCAAGATATTCCTTCCCAAACCATATCCCTAATCCTACTTAGTTTGCTCCCTGGGAAGTGTAAATTTGAAAAATATTTGCTCTTTTTGACAGAGTGGTGCTCGAATCAATATTTCAGAAGGCTCCTGTCCAGAGAGAATTGTGACAATAACAGGCCCAACAGATGCAATTTTTAAAGCTTTTTCTATGATTGCACTAAAATTTGAAGAGGTAAGCAAATAAAATATGATTTTTTTTCTCTCTTCAAGTTGAAATACAAACACTATTTGAATCTTCTCATGTTTGCTTTAATGTTAAATATGATTTGTTTAATGTTCTATTTAATAGCAATGAAAGTGGTTGTATTTTTATAAATGCTTTTGGCAGTAACACTGAAGAAAAATAATGGGTCAATTTACAAGCTGTTTGATCATTTCTTTTGCTTTTTGGAGGCTTCAGGGAAAAGCAATTGCTTCTAGTAATGTGCACTAATGGTAGGAAAAATGTCTTGGAAAATTTCTGGTCCCATTGTGGGTTTGATTTGAAAAGAATAACTGCCTAACTTTTAGCTCTGTTTTTATATTATTCCATTTGGCATTGATATAAATTTTATATATGTCAAAATGAATATATAATCCATTCAACTAGAAAATTTTTATTTTAAAAACAAACTATATGATTACCAGTTGCCATATTTAAAGCTTGGCTTTTAAAATCAATTACAGGCACTAACAGTAAGTGAGGCAAGAGAGCACTCAATCTACTGTAGAATAACAGTTCTGTGCAGATACATACCTAAAGTGCTGGGATCTTTTCAAGTTTCATGGACCAATTATGATTAGATACGGTCACCACTTTAACGGGAAACCTCACAGAAAAGGCAGCAGGCTACAGAACATGAACCCTGGTCACACAGGAGAGGATTTAACTCCCTCAGCTTTCAAAAATCAGACGTCCAGTCCAGGCATCTCTCCTGTCCTCTGCGGAGAGACAGAGGCCCCTGCAGAAGGCAATTTACCTTCTGCTAAAGGAAGAGTCTGCAGATAGGTAGACTGAATCACCTGCAGCAGGAGAAAGGGGCTGTGTCTCTTCATCAGTAATTAAACTAAAGGGATTTTAATCCCCTTCTTACGAGTACTTATCTCTCCGAGACAGTGAGGTTAGTCTCCATCTCTCTCCATAGCACTGGGAGGTGCTGGCATCGATGGGGAACGTCAGCATGTGCCTTTATTTATCCATGGTGATTGTTCACAGTAACAGGACTAGAAAAGAGCTTGTGGGTCATCAGATGTGGTTGTCTTCTAGCATAAGCGGTGTATCTTGCATGATGACAGCATGATCAAGAACTAGTTAGATTTTTTCCTACTTTTTCCTGATATTGGATCCACAACCTCAGCTCTCTGATAAATAGACACCTTATCTTCGCTCCTCACCTAAATTTATTCATGAGCAGTTTATACAGCTTTGTTCCTGTGCCAGCACTGGCCATTATTTTGAATAATTCTTGCTTTTCCATCCCTGAGGATTGCCCTCTTAGACATATTTTTAGAAACCAGTTTTATCCCCTCACACTCTTGCTTTTGCCAGAGTAAGTGAGCCAAGTCTTTCAGAGGATGCATTCCCCACCCCTCCCATGACTCTAGTAGTCCCTTTCTACCTTTTCCCAGTTACAGTTTGTGTTAAATGTATGTGTTAATTGTGGACAGGTTGCAAATGAAGTTCCACAAGGGCTTTCTTAATGGCGCTAACAGTCCTCTCTTCTGGCTATCACGCTAACATATCCCTACTGCTGCTGGAATTGCCTCACCTCCTACTAGTGTAATGTTTTGCACACAACCGTGCTGTGCCTGGCACGTATCCCCAGCTCCCTCTCAGGTGTTTTCAGTGGGAACCTCTTTGGTCTCGGCAGACATTCCTGTCAGCCCCCAAACAAATGACCCTTTTTTTTTACACTGCAAATGTTAATCCTATTTATATTTCTCCAATCCTTCATGGGTTTTCAGATCTTCCTGTGTAATATTCCAATCTTTCAATATGTTGATAAAACACCCTAGCTTTGTGGCATGGTATATTTTATAAGAACGCTGATTTTTTTTTCCTTACCAGTTATTAATGAGATAATAACAATTTTGAGGTTGAATCCTGCAGAACCACACATGTAATTCTCTGCAGCCCAATTTTAAAACCACCTGTTGTCATCGCCTTCTCAGCTTTATCTCCTACCCATCTTGTACCAATCCTTGTTTCTTCTAGCTTAAGAGGCAGCTTCGTGTACCGCACCATACCCTCCAATCCACAGAGACCTGGAGAGAGCAGTCTCTCTGCTCTCTACACGAAAAGCATGCTCTGCTTAAGGCCTTATCCCGAAAAACGGTGAGGGAATCATTAGCAGAGATAATCCCTGCCAGTTCCCACCAAAACGAGTACCCACTGGAAATAACACTGCATTTCTCATCAACACATCGAACACTGCAAAGCATCAGATCCCCACCACCCAACACCACATTATCTTTGAAAGTGCTGTAGCTAGCAATAGGCAAAGAAATCTGATATTCAGGCATCTGACTGGATTTTATGCGTATTTACCCTTGTAGATTTTAGAGGGTAGTCTGGACTCTTCATGTGGATATTAGCAAAGGGGTATTGGCACTCCCTGCATATAAGGTACTACATTTATCTTCTGAAATACCTGTATTTAGTTTTAATATAATTGGCTTCTGGTATATTTAAAAGAACCAGTGGTAAAGAAAAAAGTCTCATATAATCAGTTAGGTTTCCTGTAATTTTTCCTGTCAATAAAATGAAGTAACTGTAATACTTTGGAGGCAAAATAAATTACTGTTGCAGAAATTACAAATGAGCTAGCTAACAAATGTTGGTTTGCATGCATATCATTTTGTTGGAGATTTCTTCAGCCACTTAAAAAAATGAAAATCCCAGAGCAGACAGTGCCTGGCCCAGCTCTGGTTATTGCAGCTACCTTCAAACAGAACAAAAAAGATGCATGTGTGAGAATGATGGTTTGAGGGATTTTTTGGTATTTGTTGTGCATGTCCACATGAAGCATTTTGACATGAAACTCTTGAACCATTAATTTCAACCCTACACCTGTATAGCTGGGGATAAGCAGGTCTAGGAGGACATGGGGGCCCTGGAATGCTTTTCTCATGTTAGCCAAAATCTCGAAATGCGTCAGATAGAAAAAAAAAGATCTGGAGGAGTGTTCTCTGTGCAGTTGCTCTGCAGCCTTATATCACTCTGCTTTGACAACCTTCCTAATAAAAGTTGATTTTCTAGCAGCCTGATGATGAATTTACGAGCTAGGTAGGTAATCACTTCAACAACTGAAGTATTTACTTCAGAGCAAAAAGAGAGTTGTTAAAAACTGGCACTAACCCAGGCAGACCACTGGAGTTGCAAGAGAGGACATTTTAGAGCAGTGATTTCCAGGCTGGAGGCTGAGACCCAAGCAATGCAGCCGTAAGTTCACTGGTGAGGGGAGCAGCTCTGGTTTTGGGTAGAAATACGCACAATCCACTGGAAGCACGTGGCAGTTAAGTGCTGGAAAAAACAGCAGGCAGAGCTCAGTGGTCAGACATTCTCCAAATAAATAAGAAAAAGTTTGGCAGAGTCCTTGTTCGTTTGCAAGCATTTATGAAGAAATTGCTCAGCTCTAGGAATAAGGAGGAGAGAAAGGCAAGGTGATAAAAGCAGTTGAGATGATGCCTTTTTGACAAATGCTAGCTCCTGCTGCTACAGCTAAGGTAAATCCTGTGGTGGTCATTACCAAGTAAGGAGCCACCTGACAGACTCGTCGTACTTGCTGTGGAAATTGGCAGGTTTAACATTTCATTTAGAAACCAGTAAAGAAGAATTTTGATACGTTTTTCCCTGGGGGTTTGGCAGATTTCTGAGCTGCCAGGTTTGCTTGCCTTGGGAAGCCTGAGGCACCGTGACTCTGGCGTGGCCAGGAGCAAGGGGTGCTGCAAGGCTCCAGCACCGGGAGCTGGCTCTCCCAGTGCTTCCAGGCTCCCAGTTAGCCCGTCCTGGATGAGGAGCCGCCCAGGCGAGCGGGCACAAAGCCACGCAAGCTCCGGCTCCAGTGTCTGCCGCAGCCCTGAGGAAATGGATGCAGTGCCACAGAAAGTTAGAGGTTAAAGAAATAGGAATCTCCCAGTTTGAAAGAGGAGCGTTCTGTGAGAAAGTCTCCAGCCAGCCCTACTTGGGAGCCTGCCGTTCTGGAGGGGATATTTTTCTGCTCATTTCTCTTTTTTTAGGTTTTTAAGCTGGACTAACACTTTTACGCACTCCATGCTGCTGAGCCTGCGTGTTTCGATTTTGCTCTTTTTAAATGATGAGGAGAAAATAAAAAGAATAGCGGCTTCCAGTTTTTGTGAAGTGCTTTTGAAGGCAGTAAGTGCAGTGAAGGCTTTGAGGCCAGGCCACATATGATATAGTAGAAGTAGGAGACATTATCAGGGTCACGCTGGGTGGCTGAAGAGGGTTATTTACCTACATCTGGGTGATCGTATGCCTCCACCTGACACAAACATGATATAGTGAGATGACATCTTCCAGCTGAAAGATTGGCATGACTTGCATTTTGTTTCAGATACACGGGTGCTGCAAAATTCCGTTATCCTTCTCGCTTTATTTTGGATTGCAATCTCTCACTGACAAGGGCGCTAAGCAAAATGTGAGTTACTGGCTGGCAGAGGAATGATTTGATAGCTGTCTTGTGGCATGCAGCAATGCCTCATTCCGTTCAAGAATTTTTTTCTTCTCTTTTAAGCTAAGCAAGGTCACACTGAGCCATGTCTTTGACGGAAGAGTGCTGCCACCACAAATGCAGAGGTACTGCAGGAATCAGTGCTGGTGCCACTGAGCTCCGGCACCGGTTCAACAAGGCGTGCAGAGTTGTTTAAAGTACTTTTTTTTTTTTTTTAATTTGGGGTCCTGATCACACCATATAGGCACCTTTTTTTTTTAACAAGTGGTAGTCTTGATAAGTGAGAATATAGGCAATCACATCAGTTCTGTCTGCTGGAACTCTTGTTGCATCATAAATGAGTTAAATGAATATGAAATGCATGTTTTCTGTCATTCTTGTCCTAATCTTTTGGGTAACATTTCTGTGAAGAGTGTAATAGCTGTGCCATGCCACCTCACAGATGGATGAGATGGTATTTTCAGCTCACAGCTAGTGTTAGCAAACCACATCATTGAGATTCTCGTGGGGCAGGTGCCATGCAGCTTGCGGCTTTTTTTTGTGATCCTAAGTACTCTCAACAGCATCCCATCGATCAGTGGGAAGATAAGCTTTATCTTTTCCTCTGTGATGAAGACTTTAGAGGGATTGTTTTGTCTTTCCTAGAAGATTTTAAACAAACAAAATATATTTGAAACAATGTAAACCTCACATCAAGTAGTATATTGAAATGCTTATGAGAATGCATAGTGTAGTCTCATTGGATAATGAGATACATGGATATAGGTTACATTACCTGGATACAGGTAACTGCTGTTCTGCTGAGCTCTTTGTGCTCTGGTTATATAGCTGTGAGGGAAAAGAACTTAGAAATTACGTAGCACTACAAATACTTATGGATCTGCTACAAAAGAGAAATTAATCCTGAGGGGCAGGAAAATATTTATCAAAATAATCTGATTTTCTCTGCCTCAGATTATTCACAGATTCTTTGTCATTCCCTTTTTTAACCTTTTTTCTTTGTATCAAACCTGACAAGACATCGCGTGAAATGTAAAGACACATCACATAGTTAGAAATGTTCTAACTGAGGTGGTGGAAAAGAGGCCAAATCAGGATTTGGGGGCCAGTGAACTCAAAAGGCTCTTTGTCTTTTCCATGTGCTAGGGCTGGTCTAATGACAGACACCACCTCCTCCTCCTCCTAGTCTTGCCTCAGAGAATGTCCCTGTGGTCCAGCAGCGTGGACCTGCACCCCCAGGCAGCAGAAGGGTTCCTCTGGCACAAGCCACTCGTGCGGTTCGTGCTTGTAGCCGACTGGCTTTACCTGCAAGAGAAACAAACCACGACTGGTTGTACCCGGGCATTTGCGCGGAGCCCTTCGGTGCTCACCAGGAATGACAAATCCTCCGCTGATTCTCCCTGCCGTTGTGATTGCAGGACATAAACGCTTCAATGACAAACAGCACGGTGACAAGCAAACCGCCTGTAACGCTGCGGCTCGTCGTCCCGGCCAGTCAGTGTGGATCCCTTATAGGAAAAGGAGGTTCCAAAATCAAAGAAATCAGGGAGGTAAGTCTTGGGATGTCTGCTGGGAACCCTGGCTAGCTCAGCGTCCTACCGCAGCGTGCCCTGCCACCATCGGCCGCTGCGCTTTGCTCATCGCACGAACGTGAGCGTGCGCTGGGTGAAGAGCCGGGAAGAGCCTTGCCCTGGGGGGAGCAGGGGTCCAGCACAGCTGCACCCTTCTGTCTTCCTTGAAGCTAAAGACTGTGTGTGAAATAAAGAAACGGCTTTACAACATATTAGTCTCTGATGCGCGATTTAGCAAAGCAACAGTTTAGCAACAGAAATGGCTATTCCAGTTTCTCTCCAGGCACAGCCCCCTCCCCAGCAATACTCAGGTGATCCCAAGTTGGAGCGTTGCAGCCATTTCCAAATTAGCTACCACCCCTGGAGCCAGAGAAAGGCCCAAGTAGCACTGGGGAGGCCAGGTAAGTAGATCAAACACTTGATCTACTTTTAAGAAAAAAATTATTTTCATACCCCTTTCCTGTTGCTCCCTGATCTCACTGTGCCACAGGTGACCTGATTTCTTGTATTCCAAACCCATATTGATTTTTTTTTTAATCCAGACTTTATCTAAAGGTATTTATTCAATGTGCTATGCTAGCAGCCACTTTTTCCTTTAACCAGAAAATACAAAATTTATCATACGGTGCCAGTTTTACTTCTTCCATGCATGACTGTAACAACATAGCGCATGGCAAGCCAAGGATCCAATGTTTGTAATCAGTCAAACAAGAAAATTAGGTACATGCTTAGTTATGTAGAGAAAATTTGAATAGGACATTTCAGAAAAATGGATTTTTATTCTGGAGAAAGTGACAGTGCTCCTTCTAAATTTGTATTCATTTCCAAAGTGGGATGAGGTGTTGAATATCAAGATAACATGCTGATCAATTTTTTTCATTTGACTATGTCAAAACAGAAGCTTTGGCTTTACCAAAGTGAAACTTCCTTTTTTTATCTAAAATGTAGACTTGAGACAGTAGGTTTCAGTGAGCTCTTACGTTTCATTTCAAATGTGAAAAAAAGTTAATGGGTATTTTTCTATCGAAGAAAATTTGATCAAAAGTCAAAAAAGAGTGGAATATCCTTTGATCAAAATTTTATATCCAGCATTTACTATGAAATGTTAGTTTATGGTAACCTTGGAAGGAAAGGTGATGATAGAGGACAGTTAAGGGTCTCATCCTATTGTCTTTCAAGTTCTTCCAAATTATTTCATTTTAATTCCAATTTGGTTGTCCCAGGAGGTTTTTTAACAAAGTTTCCTCTGAAGGCTTATCTTCCCCTTTCAGGATTTGGCTGCCACTGAAAGGGTGTTTTCTCTTCTTGCATACAGGGAAGTAAAAGCAACACGTACCGCTTCCATTAGCTGACAGAGCTGCCAAAAGCTGTTTCAGAGTTTTTGCTGCCAAGCAAACAGCATGTTGTTCCTCCATGTGCCTCTTGCTTGGTAGACCGTGTTCGTGAAAACACGCATAGGTGGTAAACCATGTTCGTGAAAACATGCGCTCGCAGAACAATTCAGATCCCTGCCATTTGAAGGGGGTGTCTGTGCTTACTGAGACCTGCAAATAAAAGGCAACTACAAATCAGATTTTTTTTTTTTTTCTTGGAATGCTGTTACTTTATTTTTCATCAGAGTCCGTGGGCTATGCCTCTCAGTAGTCCTTATTGTCAAACCAGCTTTTGAGATGTGGGAGAAAGGAGTCACTTGATGGCACTGCGGGGAAGAAAACATTATTTCTGTGCAGATGTTAGGGTCATCGGAAACCCTCCCACTTTCTCTCTTTAATCCCAAAAATGCTTTGTCAGAGAACTTGGTATAGATGGGAGAAGACACTCGTGCGTTGAAGCGCGTTTCCTGGGTGGAAGGAAGGTGTTGAGTTTGCCTTGGCACGGGACATTTCTGGCTCAGATTCTGGACGGCGCCCGCACTGTTGGTGTTTGCAGCGGCTCGTGCCTGGGCGAGGCAGAGCCTGCCGAGCCGCCGCGCGTTCTCGCCCTGGCAGGCAGCAGGCGAAGCCAGGCTGAAGCTAAAGCTAAAGGCAGAGCTGCTTGTCAGAGCGCACGGTCGGAGGCGACCTCAGCCACGAGACACGATTTCTCTTGGCCCTCCAGATCTCTCAGATGTCCAGGAGAACCGTCAGGCAGCAGGAATCCAGCTGATTTCTTAGTTGTGTTAAAATAGGAGCAGGCGTGAGTGTGAACCGTGTGCTGGTGAGTGCTTTAGCTCTAGGTTCTACAGCTGTCGATACTTCGGATTTTATTTTAAATATGGGTAACCTCATCCAGAGCACTGCGTGAGTGCTTTTAGGACATAGGTTTTTAAAGGTGAGATTGGTCTGTTGGTCTGTGTACATGAAATGACTGAAGTGATTATTCTGGTGAGCATAGTTTCAGAAGCAATTACCTACTAGTCTAGTACAAGGAAGTAAAAGGATAGTGTTTGGCCTAATAGGTGTTTTGATGAGGCTAATGTAGCGAGAAGTCACACTGCACATTTTCTTAAGCATAAGGGTAATGGACAAAATATTACTCGTTTTTTTTGGTGCTGACATATGACCGAAGTCAAAGAATAAACAAGATCGGCGCTGGAAGCAAATCCATAAATGACTGCAGTATTTGGCAGAGTATTTTGTGCTAGATGTACAGACACCCAGAACTGTGCGTTAAACAGCAAATATGATCAAACAGAAAAAAAAAAAAAGAGCATCCAGCTCAAGATGTGGCCTAATTTCATCATCACACAACACACTGAGCGGCAATTGTGTGAGGGATGGTCTTTTGTGTTCAGTCATGAACCCAGGAATGACATGTAGGGTTGCTGTACTATTTTCAAGATAAGATTACAAAAAAAAAAAAAAAAAAAAAAAAAAAAAAAAAAAAAAAAAAACGTTTTTGAAAAATTTTGGGGAAAAAAAAAAAAAAAAAAAAAAAAAAAAAAAAAAAAAAAAAAAAAAAAAAAAAAAAAAAAAAAAAAAAAAAAAAAAAAAAAAAAAAAAAAAAAAAAAAAAAAAAAAATTAAAGCATGACTGATTGATCAAATTATGGCGAAATTCCAAAGCCTATTATAGAGCAAGGAATTGATATTCTGGCCTTAAACAGCACTAGTGAACAGAAGATGCAATCAGTAATTTAATCAGTCTCTGGAAAGAAGAATAACATGTGTTGTATGTAACCAGCAGGAAAACAAATTAACTCCTTGCTGACTGACACAAAGTCAGTGGTTACTGAAAATTCTTTTTTTAAAAAGTCCAAAATATTGCATTGCGGTAACAGTCAGGAATAGGTTTTGTTTGTAATATGTGAAAGAGCTAACTCAATATGAAGTGCCTGGGGCTTTTTTCTGTTGACTGAAAAAGTCTTTCAGGATGTTTGTGAAATAATGCCAGGGATTGTTTTGGCCTCATGTATTTTTGTCTTTTCTTTGGATTTGTTTTTCTTTTGTTAACTAAGATACATTAATGCCAAGACCAAATTTAACAAAAAATAAAACAAAACTGGCTCATTACCTCCTTGGGTTCATTAATGAGCTAAAAGTTGATGATGTGCATATATTTAATCAACACTAATTATGAGTTAGAAGTGCTTCCGTACCATCCTGAAATCTTCCAGAGCATAAGGCAGCCCCAAATTTCATCCAGAGAAACAAGTCAGCCATCAGTGGATTAAAGAGCCATTTATCTGCAACTCATTTGATTAGCAGACCTTCTTCAGTTATCAGCATTTTTTTTCCTCTCTTTTTGTTTTTATTACTGAAAAGTGCTTCATTTCACCTCTTTCTTTTTTTAGTGAGCATTGCAACTGTCTGTCTTTGAGAGGGTTAAGAGACTTGTCCTGAAATTCAGGTCACAGTTTGATTTGTTAACAGCTACTGAGGACTAATCTTCCTAGGATGGGAGTGTTTGCAAATTGGCTTGAAGGGGCAAATCCATGTCCTGCCAGAACCCAATTACCCTGTCTGGGCGTGAGTTCACGTCGGCGCTCTACCACATATCTGGCGAAGAAAAGACAAAAAGTTGAGAGGTGCATCCCCTCCATCACATCAGTGAATCGCCGGCTTTTGAGAGGTGCCGTTCCCTGCCCGACGGTGACGCTCTCTTTGCCTTGTCTCTGCTCAAGTCCACAGGAGCCCAGGTGCAGGTAGCGGGGGACATGTTGCCAAACTCGACGGAGCGCGCAGTGACTATATCGGGCACCCCCGACGCCATTATCCAGTGCGTGAAGCAAATATGTGTGGTTATGCTGGAGGTAAGTGAGTGCTTGGCATATCGCCTCTCGCTCGGGAGATGCTCAGACACATCATTAATTTTCAATTGCCCTGGGTTCCCCAGGGGTGCTGCCTGCCCTTCCCGTGCCAGGGATTGCAAGAGGACTCTCTTAGCCTGTGCCCTTCCTGGTGTTTGGGAGCCTCTCGCAGCAGGGCTTAGCAATCAAAGACCTGGGCTGTCATGACACTGCCAAACAACAAACCAGGTCCAGCGTGGAGCTGCAGCCCGTTCTGAGAGAAAAACATTTTATTCTGATGCAGAATAGGGTAGAAAACATCTAGGTCTTGTTTTAAATAGAAATAATTCTGACTAGTGTAATTTAGATTTACCAGGACTTTTTGCTCCCTTAGGTCATTGCATAAGGCCGGGATGCTTCATTTTGACGGCAGTTTTTTAGCTCTTAGTTTAAACGATACAAAGTTAATTTATATAAAAATCTGGGCATTTTAACCCTTGCTGAAAATGCCCATAATTTTGTGCAAGTACATTTCTCAACTGATTAAGTTGAATAGAAGTTTGGAAAAAAAAGAATATTTCAGCAAATCAAAATTAAATATTTTGACCTAGTAACCACAATTTTTGACAAGGAACATAAAACATGTCTGCTTTTATCACATTTTCTGCTGGAAAATTTTCTGTGTTTTTTTGGTTTGGTTTGTTTTTTTACCTAAGTCTAGTCAAGGGCTGTCTCATGATAATCTCTGACACCCTACTGTTCTGTTATTCTTTAAAGAGGAGAGAAACAGTAGAGTGTTTGAGACAGTACTGCAGCTATTGGATGTTCAGAAGCATGCAGTGCATCAAAATGACATACAGCCTTTGCATCAAAATGTCATACAGCCTAATGCAAATAAAAGCATAAAAACTGATAAATCCCCAGTGTTTTACTGGCGAAAAGTGACTCTTGCTTCAGTTCTTGCTGGATTACTGTGAGGAAGGAATTTCTTTATAAAAATGTGAAAGAACAAAAAGATAATATTAAAAAATAATTTTAGTTTGTTAGAGATGGAGTACGTGATGGCAATAGTTACCAGCTTTGTGAATACACAGTGTAGTCTATTGTCCAAGCGACATTTGTGGAATAAATAGTTATTTGCTAAAGAAGATGAGAGAAGCCACTTCCCAAAATCAGAGAGACACAGTCCTATTTTGCCACAGGTACAGCCACTTTTTCAGTAACCAGTTTTGACATAAGAAGTACTTAATTTTAGCATCAGGCAAATCGCAAGCAGCACTAAGACGACACTGGCTTAACTACAGTTTGCTGCTTCAAACGTTTAAGAGAAAGAATGTGCTCTGATTTGCAGCATATATTTAATTTGGCAACACTTTCTTTGACATGAAATAGCTAATTATATGTTATTAATTAATGGAAGTGATACTGTTCTTGCCGCCTTTAGTTGTAGTTAATGCACTGAAACCAGGGCACGATCCTGCTGAGTGTGGCACAGCTTGAAGCCTTTTTTACAGACACATGCTTCTGCTTTATTTACAAGGAGAAAGTTAGCCTCAGTCAGGTGTTTTCCCTTTGGGTCCTTGCCTTGGGCTACAGGGAACAAACTCCCTTTTCATGCATTATGAAGGCCGTGGTTACGCTCCTG